TGAAGTTGTTGATAGTAGCCTCAGCCAGTTTCTTGCAGAGGAGGGAAGAAAGAAGGAGATCCAGATGTGACCAATGAATAGATAGCTTTAAAAAAAGTAACAGGAATAAAGCAGGAAGCCTATAGCTAATGGTGGGTGGAGAAGTGGGAAGTCTAGATATGTAGAACTTCTCAAAAAGGAAATAGGGGTAAAATGAGAGCCTACAAGTGAATGTGAGTCAGACCATGGCTACACAAAGGCAGCTCTCAGGATTTTCCTCTGCTACAATAGAAGGGGAATAAAGAGGTGGGAGTTTCAGCGCTCTCTGGGTAAAGCAAAGATAAAACCTGCCAAGGATGGGGTGAGATGGGATGATCTCAAACAACTAACGCATAAAATTCTACGCACAATGCAACTGAAGAACAACAAATGAAATGTAACGTCTCCACTCATTTAATAATACCTGGAAAGCTATAGGTCTGTAATTCTACTTCAGTAGTGTGGCAGGGCCTGATCAATATGAGGGGGAAAAACCAAGCGTGGTCCTGGAGGTAAATGGGCATTGACATAAGAAAGCAAGGGCTTTCCAGAGGACATCAAACAGTTTAGAGTACAGTTACCAAAAAGGAAAGTCAAAACATAAAAGATTGCCTTGAAGTGGATATTGGAGAAGAAGCTGCTATGGTGCCACAAGAAAACTGAGAGCAAATCTGTAGAAGATGGGGGACTGTTGCATAGAAACTTTAAGGTGACAGACATGGCTGAGAGGGTGGTAATGGAAGGGGTAATGCGCCATCAGAGCCTAATTCTGGGCCCTCCTTGGTGCTGATGTCCCCACAAGCCATGGGGGTGCCACAGGAGAGAGGAGGGGAGAATGTGAATGTATCACACTGCTGTCTGTTCATTGCTCAGGCTATTAAACTCTGTTAAAATAATCCCTAAAGTTCAGTTCCTCCAAGTCAGCCTCTGGAAGCCTTGTTTTACAGTCAGGGAAATAAGAGTCAACTGATGTGATTTTTATTTTTTAGTGTACGCTACATTTTCATTTAACTTCAGTTCTTCTCTTTGTTTTTCTGTGTTATGTAAGAATTAGCCTTGATATGGAAAAGCTGGACAATGAAGCTGATACCGTAATTTGATTTTATGCTAATGTCTTCTCAATAAATCTGCCATTAAACAGAAAATGAAATTAAATGAACAAATATATTTTTAATGTGAGACTTTTAAAGGTGGTGTACAATTAGGCACAGTTTTACAAGCAGAATGAGTTGGTGGCAATAAAAAATAGCCTTTTTTGTTAATCCCTGAAAATATATTTAAAGTTCAGGCTCAACCTTTTTAAAGGACTGCCAAAAAAAAGATTTGAATTTAAGGGGCCTGAGAATTTTTGCATATCCTAAACTTTGGTAGACTGTGAATACCAAACATAATGTTAAATGAGGAAACGTGTCCTTACTGTGATCGCCGCTTAATCAATTTTATCATGTCTGATTTCAGAACCTATAGAATATGTCAATATTTGTGGGAGCTTGGTATTCTCCGTAATATTTGAATGGCCTAAATTGGGTAGAATAACCATAAATGGAAACAGTGCAATGAAATGCATATTTGATAAGTAATAAAAGCTCTTAAAGTTCTTGTCAGTGGACAGTCATTCCAACATCACTGCTATTACTCTTTAACTTGGGTTTTCTTTTAAAATCCCACCCTACAGTAATGAAGTATAGTTAATGTAACTCTAAAAGACAATTATTTTTTTCTATGGAGAAACTCAGATGATGGGGGATAATAGATTCTGTGTCAGAATAACTTGTTCTATGTATTCTGGATGCCTGTAATATTAAATAATGTTCCATGAATTTCTGTCAGGCCATTGTATTACTTGATATCAGAACAGGAGAAACTTTGCTAGTGCAGTCTTCCTTGCTGCTGAAATTATAGCATCCGTCATAGTGTAAAGGACACTTTCATTATTATTCATTATTTTGTTGGTGTAAAATAATTCTTAGTTGTTCTTTTCTTGATATAGCAATGAAATCTCAAGAAACCCAACAACTTGCCACCCTAGATGTTACCCAGATAGAAATTAGAGTTCTTCAAGACCGGATTTATTAAATATTAGCATTTTGGACCAATGCTTCCTCCAGTTACCACTGGATTTTGCTCATCTGCTTTGGACAGAGGTCTAGGGCCGTAGGCATTTTCCTTTATGTTAAGAGTTTAGTAGTTCTACGTGTCCATTTGCCGGATGACTCTTGGAGCAACTAAGTGAAGAGTGCAGCAGCTCTTGGCCCATTTAAAGAGCACCTTTGAGCGAGGGTACGAACTGACATGGGTTTCTCTACCTGCCTGTGTCTGCCCACCAGCCTGGCTTGCTAGCTGGAGTGCAGCCTGGCTCTCATGTGGCTCCTGCCCCAGACTTGCAGGCATGTGGCCTCTTCAAAACATGAGCAGTAGTTGTTCCTGCTTGGACCTACCTGTGCAGATGTGCCTGAGATAATCCCGGACAAGCCAGGGAATAAACTGACTTTAATTTGAAGGGCGATTAAGCAAAATTACTTCTTCCACCACACCTTCCTCTCACCTTACAGTGAGGATTCTCGGCTATAAATGGTAGTGAATGCTCACATGGGTCCTGGTGGAGCGAAGCTTTTCAGCCACGTGTGCAATGCAATTGCTGTGTGCTGTTAGAGTTGATCTGACCACAAGCCCTTTCGCCCACAGCGGCTGGTAGGGGATGCCGAGGGAGGAGGATGAGAATGAGACTGACATGTGGTGATCTTTATCTAGCATAACCTGTGAGGGCCTCCAGAACCAGCAGCGATGCCTTTGCAACGCTGAGCATGGGCTTACATGAATTCCCTTAAATAAAATGTAAAAGGAGGTGAATAGTCTTGGTCTCTGATAAAAAAACACAGTGAAGAAAGCTTACGATAGGAAAAAAGCAATTATCTTTGGGGGCGGAATTAAAAACTTTCAACAGAGGACTGACAAGTGTTTTATAAAGAGCTTCCTGAACTCATCCCTGTATTTCCTGATGTATCTGGAAATCTCCTCCAAAAGCAGTGTGGTATTCCTGTTTGGAGCTGTTTTCCCTTTCACCACCTGTAGTTGCCACTGAAATGATGGGCAGCGTGGGTGCGGGTAAGCAGAGGGAGGTAGGTTCTCTGTTCTCATGGCCTTTGTTAAGGAGACGGGACAAACACAGCTGCTTTGCCTGAGTGCAGTAAAGGCTGACAGGGATGTGCTTGCTCTCAGTAAAACCATCAGAGATAACACCGGGGAAAGGGAGCAAGCCTTTGAGCTGTATAATGTCATTAGCACAAAACCGTTATAAAATACAAGTGGATAAACTTGAGTTCGGTAAGTGGTTAATGAGAAGTAGGAGGCTCTGGGACAACATCTTCACGCGAGGAGCAGGGAATAAACGCTTATGGCAGTTTGAGAGTTTGCAGAGCAGATCTCATTATATTTGTACAGTGTTCTTGAGCTGTCTGTTGGCTCCTTGCCGTAACACGGTACGTTCAGTTCACAACCTGGGGGTGGCCCAGCGTGCTGCTGGGGCTGGAGCGGTGAGAACGTCTCTGTCTACTGCGCTGGCAACCGTTCTCCAGGCACAGGGGGGCTTGAAGCCTGTAGCGTGAGGGCCTCAGATTAGTGTTATCACTTCACAGCTGTAAAAGTGAGATGAAAGAAAGGATGAATTCAGGAGTATATCTGTAAGCACATCAGAAGCTTAAAATAATAATTTTTCCCTACTGTTCCAGTAGTGTCCTTCTACTTTCAGTTTGAATCCAGACTGCATCTCTCAAGAGGCAATGGACTCTCAAATAGATGCAAATTACACTGCATGTTTCCTACGTTGTTCCCCCCGCCTTTTTTCCCCCCCAAAGTAAGCAAAGGTCCCTCTCTCCCCAGTTATCTGCCTACTGCCTCTAAGGTTCAGCAAAATGTGTCCAGATGGACCTGCTCCTTCGCGTGAGCTCTGATGATGCCCTTTCCTATTGCCTTCAGTCTCTTCTGAATTTCCATCCACAAAGAAAAAAAAAAAAGGAAAACCTTTTCATCCACAAAGATAAAGACCTGCCTGGCACCCTTTGCTGCAGGACCTACTCCTCTGCCCTCTCGTTTAATGCCTTGACCGTGACAGGAGCCTTGTGGATTAACTCATGAGAGGCATGTAGGTTTTACTTTTATTATTTTTACCCTTGTTTTATTTTAATAGCCAGGGCAAATGGGAAGAATGCAAATGAGTGAATGCCCTCTTTGATCTGTGTTGCTCCTGAGCATAATCTGCTAACCTGGCAGGCGCCAGGCATGAGCGGAATTGCTGCCCCTAAGCAGGGAGAAACTTCAGGCTCTTTTTGCGAGCAGTTGCTTGCAGTTTGCTTGTTGGCTTGGGGGAAGCGAGCAGCCGAGAGAGCCTCGTCCCTCTGCAGAAAAGGGGAGCTGGAGGCACTGTGGGGCCGATGGCCTGCTGCTCACGTCATGGGAATTATTCTTTTAAGCACGGATAGTCGTAAGGTTTTCCACCCACATCTGAAAAACATACAATGAAGCATTTACCCTAAAAACGGTACAGCCCCGGGATCTGGTTCTTTGCGGGGGAACTGTGACAGGAGCAACCTCCAGAAGCCATCTCCTGGGGTGAGACACCGAGCTACCGGCTGGATGTGGGAGAGAAGAGAAGATGGAGGCATTAACTTCAGTTGTGATTGAGGTCCGTCCCTGAACACAGAAGCCGTGGGAGTATTTTGAGGGTGTGTATCTAAAATACAGTTGGAGGGGCTGGACGGGGTTATTGGAAGGGAAGAGTGGTTTTGGTTGTGTTGGAGTTGAACAATAAAACTGTTAATAGCCAGCGAAACATCAAGAGTGGGTGATCGTCTGTACCTCTCAATTATTTTACTGTTCTTTAGAAAGATGCCTGACTGTACGATGTGCATGTTCTGTAAAGCACACATATCCTTTGCTCTGCAGGACACCGGGAAGTGGTTTTTGCTCTGAAATCTGGATTTACGATGTCTCCTCCAGTCCCTTCAGACCTGGGCTATGTACCCCCTGATGGCGGCTGGGGGTGGGCAGTGGTCTTCGGAGCCTCCATCTCTGTTGGGTTTGCATATACCTTTCCTAAAGCTTTCACAATCTACTTTAAAGAGCTCCAGGCTGTTTACAGCATCTCCTACAGCCAGATTGCCTGGATATCATCCATCATGTGTGCTACCACCTACGGAGGAGGTAAGTGAAGCAAGACCGTATGTTTCTTTGGAAAGGAGGAGGTCTGGTCTCTACACCAAAAAGGGGAGGGGAGAATACATTTCTTTGAGAAAGTTCTTGGAAAGCCCTAACTGCAAGTTTGGCTCTCTCTTTTCTGACAATGTACACTGGTAAAATGGAGAAAATCAGTACTGCCGAGTATTTTATTGTCAGCGTATATGATGTCACCAATTCTTATTTCATCAGAAACCTTGTGATGTGTGGGTGGTGGCTGGGCCATGGTGGAATTATTTGAGTCTTGGACAGTTATTTCAGTATATTTAGTATTGCATCTTTTGTTCTGTTCGTATTCCTGGCTTTCTCTTTAAACGAAGAATGTATTTTTTTCACTCATGATTGTAGAGAAGATGCTGGCAACTCAAAACCTGAAGTTTTGCTCATGAACAGGCATGGTGTAGATGCATGTAAATCTTGAGATAGTATGTAAATGTGCTTTTAAATGTTCCTTAATTCTGTTGCTAAAATCTGGCTGCAAGTCATTTATTAAGGGATGATGTTTTAGATTTCTCTCTGCAGAATCTTTCTGAAAGGACAAATGTTTGCACTGGTTACTTCAAGTTAAAATGTTCACAGAGTACTTGCACCTGAGCTGCAGAAGTTGCCATTGTGCAAAGGTTGTCAGAAGGTATGGCTTGTCCTCTTAACGAAATCATCCTGTGGATATTCTTAGAGGGATGTTTGTCTCGGATACCGATGCCAGGTATCAGTCTGCCACTTTGATCTGGGTAGCTGGTGTGTATCTTGCTGTTAATGGTTAGTAGAGGACCATCTCTCTTTTAGGCTGCTGATGCCTGTGAGGTGCGGCTGCTGGAGGTTATAGGTGGGGTCTTAGCAGACTCTTGGTGGTTCTCAGCTTGTTTTGCAAGGGTGAAACATAAAAGGATTAGCACTTCAGAACACAAGAACAGCCTCACCGACTGACATCTGCCCAAACCTGTGTTCTTCCTTAAACAACATCAGTGTGCACGCTTTGGGAAAGACCATTGCAAACAAGCTGTAGGTGGAGGGATCCTCTCGGTGCTCAGGACGGTGCGGTTTGGAGGCTTCCTGGGTCACATACTATGAACATCAGGGTACAGAAGCCACACACACTCATCTCATGTACTTTAGGAACTGTTTTTACATGGCAATAATAAAGGAGCTGTTTTGTCGTCCTGTATGGGGTGGATTAAGGTGAAAGAAAATATCTGCAAGGCTCACCTGGCACTCGGGGCAGCGATAGACGTTGCTCTGCAAGTGCCCCAGGCGATGCCTGTGACTCCGTGGACAATCTGTGTCTTGACTCTTTTGACAGCTCATGCCTTGTGTTACTGAGCATGTGATTCCTGAGATAACTGCGTGCCTTGGAAAGCTGGCATGGGAGGGAAGGCTGGCATGGGAGTGAGCAACTTTTTCCTCACGGATTCAGATCCAGCCCTTGTCACGGGAGACTGAAGGCTCGAGCTGCTGCCGAGGCAGCGGCCGGGCTCAGCCCCTTCCCGGCGGGCAGGTACCGATGCCGCCGACCCACCAGGCTGGCTGACACGCTTGGCTTCAGGGTGGGCACGACCAGAGAGGCGTGAGGGAGGAGCTGCTTCGCTGCCTGCAGAAAGATCCTGTTCAGGTCTGGCTGGAGTTGACCAGCCGGGCAGCGAGGAGGCTTCATGGGGCTCTTTGGGCTACGGTCCCTGCTGCAGGTGGACAGCAAGGCTCACTTCCAGGGGTATCAAATCAGCAGCTCTACAGAGCACCTCTTTCCCACTGAAACAATAAATGTGTATCCTCTGGCCGCTGTTTGGCTCTGGTGGTTTCATGTCGGGTGCTGGAAAGGGCTGACGGAGTCTGAGCGGGAGACTGAAGCGAGATTCAGGCGGTGGGGGCTGTCAGATGGCTCGTTTCCACAGGGTGGCTGTTTGGGCCCTGTGAAAATTGGATTTCTGAAACTGAGCACCAAGCATTAGACGTGTCTCAGACTGGCTGACATTTCTGGCTTTTCATTTTCCACATTCCCTGAGCTAGGGCCCTTGTCACCTGGATGAAGATACAGAGGAGACTACAGCATGGGAACTGCTGTCAGTGATCCTGATGAGGGAAGAAGCTGTTACAGTAAAAAACTGT